CAAGGAGGCAGGGGTCCTGTGTCCATGTTGTGATTCAGGGACTCAGGCTTCTGCCCAGGGACGAGGAAGCTCATCTACTGTTGGTCAGAAGCCAGGCACGTGGTCCCAGCCAAGCTACAGAGCAGCTGAGAAGTGTGGTCCAACATGCCTCTTTGAGTCTGCAGTTATAACAAATTCACTGGATTCTGCTGAGTGACTCATGAGCCTGGAGTGATTCCTGGGGGCCTAGGGAGAAATGTTCCCTTTTGCTAACAAGAAGAGATTCAGGGGGCTGGAGAGATTGCTCAGTGGTTAAGACAGTGGCTGCTCTTGCAGAGGTCCTGGGTTCAGTTCCCAGCACCTACATGGTGACTAACAGCCATGTATAACATTAGTTCCGGGGGACCTGATGCCTTCTTCTGACTTCCGTGGGCATTGCGTGACATAGGTCCAGTTACATATGTTTAGGCAATGCACTCATACACATAAAATAAAATAATAAGTAAAATATTTTAAAAAGAAAAGATTCAGAACCAGGGTGGATGTGGTTACCCAGTTGGGCCCCAGTGACTGGTGTGCAGATGTCATCACATCAGTGCTTTCTGAGTGCAAGGATGATGTGTATCATTTGTATTGTTTAATATGACTCTGGGCTCTTCAAAATGCCAAAAGAAAGTATAATTCATTTTTCTCACCTTTTCAGGCAGTTGAAATAACCCACTTCTTCCCTTCCACGTTGGATGCGGTGTATTTCTAATCTAGTGTCTGAAACACAATGCAGCCCCTGTTTCCTCTGTTGATTTTCCCTGCTAGGATGTACACTCCGAAATATAGGCCATGTAGTATCTGTTTTCTTAGTCACAGCCCCTTCCATGGGGCCTGGCATGAGATGGGCCATAGATGAATGCATACCTTATTTTTTTCAAGTTTAAACATTGTCTTCTATATTAAATACATTGCCTGAAGATCCTATTATCCTATTTCAGTTTATCAATGATGAATATGAAAGAGAAACAACATGGATTAGTGGGAGAAAGTGGCTTTGGGGCTGGACAGAGCTGGGTCAGAATCCTACTTGTTTCTTTATAACCTGGGGCTTATTATAATTTAGCCTACACTGCCTCTTGATCTAATGTCACATTAATTTTGTCATTTGAAAAGTAGGTATTCTCACTTTATAATGCTATTTTGAAGTTAAGAAACTATGATATTGGAAACTGTCAAGTTAGTGCCCTGTTACCAAGTGGGGAGGGAGGCTGGTGGTTGGGGGCCATTTACACTGCACCTGCCTCGTTACTAGGTTGGGACATAGACTTGAACTTTAAGTCCATATGCGTGAGAAGCATAGACACATTCATTCTTAATGCCTCCCAGATACACAGACAAAAGAAGGAAATGCTCTCTGACAGTGAAGGGATGGGCTGCCTAGCTCAGCAGCCATTGCTCGTGATTGGAAGTGTGTGTATGGTAGTGGTGGGGGAGTATTTGCCATCTGCCAGGGCTGTGTGTGGTTGGGAGACCTGCCCTGTGTGGGAAAATAGACGAAATTGATGATCCTCATGAAGAAAGTGAAACCATGTCAGGGTCTCTAGTGGGAGATAAATGACCCAAACACCAATACCTGCTATTTCATCATCTATGCACTCTACTGGATGGTGGGTGTGACCAGAAGATAAACAGGCCATCAATGACTGGGGAGTGTGCTGGATAGCTTTAGTGTCAACTTGACACACCTGGGTTGAGGAAGCCTCAATTGGGGGATTGCTTCTATTGGACTGGTCTATGGTCTTGTCTGAAGGGCATCTTCTTGATGAGTGATGTGGGAGGGCCCAGCCCACTGTGGGTGGTGCCACCCCTGGGCAGGTGGGCCTGTGTTGCATAAGAATGCAGGCTGAGCAGGGGCCAGGGGAGCAAGCCAGTAAGCAGCATTCCTCCATGGCCTGTGCTCCAGCTCCTGCCTCCAGGTTCCTGCCCTGAGTTCCTACCTTGGGCTCCCGGATAACTGTGACCTAGGCTATGTAAGCTAAATAAACCCTTTCCTCCCCAAGTTGGTAGTGGTCAGAGTATTTTGTCACAGCAACAGAGAAACAAACCAGAACAGGGAGCTAGAAGAAAACATGATGACTTGACTACTGCTTTCTTTCTTGCCCCTTCCAATGACAAAAATATCAGATTTTTAACCTATTTTAAAAGTTCTGCATATTGGGGTCTGGAGAGATGGCTCAGTGGTTAAGAACACTGACTGCTCTTGCAGAAGGCCCAGGTTCAGTTCCCAGCACCCACATGGCAGCTAACAACCATCTGTAACTCCCATTCCAATGAATCCAGCACCCTCTTCTGGCCTCCGTGGGTTTGCATGCACTGCATGGATGCACTTACATACATGCAAGCAAAACACACACAGAAAATAAAAATAAGTAAATAATCTGCATATTGCTCCATTGTGCTTAATGTAGTATCTAACATATTGTAAGTGGTCACATTGATGGATTTTTCTCCTGGGGGGTGAGTCACTGGATTAAACATGAGTGTAGTGTTTAACTCCAAGAACTGCCTTACAAGAGGGACATTAACAGACTGTCTTGTGATAAACACTCACTACTCACTGACTCTATAAACAAAGGTCCTCTTCTTCTGGGTGGCCAGTAATTGGATATGTTATGGCTGAAATTTCCCTCACAGGCATTCAAACTCGGTTGTTGAAAACCAGGTTAGATTCCTGCAGTTTTTGATGTTATGTTTTGACGTCTTGGTGCTCTATAACCCATTTGGCAAAGGTGCCCATCATATTCCATCCTGGGCAGGGTTCCTGGACTCTGTGCCCCGTGCCAAGCACCAGGCTGGAGATCGGTGAGCTAGGAAATGGGCCAGCTATTTGAAGCACATTGCACTAGACATTCCCTGGGGTGTAAAGGAAGGCCTCCTTTCTAGAAAGCAGGGGGATTGGACTCAGTAACTTTAACTGTTTGGCGAAGGGCCAGCCCTCCAGCCAGCAGCTATCTCGTGGCCTGCAGAAAATTTAGACACAAAGCCTCCAGCTCTTGCTTTTTAATGTGACCATCACAACCTCCTCTGGGACAGGGTTGCTTTTAAGAAAGGAGAGACATTATATATATAAAACCCTGATATTAAACCTGATTCCTCATTTTTAATTTTTGAGGTAATATTTTCTTTGTAGTGATAAAATGGAAAATTCTGGAACAGAGAAGCATCAAAAAGTGCCATTTACCACTTTTCAAGTTAAAGAAAATCATACAATGTATAGTGATGGATAGATCTATTGGTGTTAATTAAGCCTATAAATTAGACCCTAACAGCTGTTTCACCACTAGCTCCATAACTTGTCTCTTGCAGCCCACAAGTTCAATTTCAATGTCACTCAGAGACAACTAATTTACAATCCCACAGTGCCCTGCTCTTTCTGTGTGCCATACAGGTTTTTATGAACTGCATACGCTAGGCTCTCTGTGCTCATTCAGTACAAAGCACTACTCAAATGACTTTTTAGAAACCTAATTAATAATACAGAGCCCCTGGAGACCTTGCTTCTGAATGCTAAAGTGGGTCCAGGAGTGGAAACTAAGCTGTTTGGAGTAGCCTTAGGGTACTTTGGAGAATCAAGCAGAGCACCTTTGAGTGAATTATCCCTTCTGATGTTCTTAATACTTGCAAAACTATGAAGATATCATCAACACCCTACAGTGTGTTCGCTGAGATTCAGCAGAGATAAATTCCAAACTCATAACGTAGATGAATCTTTTGCCAGTTGAACGTCTTTCCCACCAGGAAGTCTGAGGCACATGGATGAACAGAGTGATGACAGTGGAGACTCTGAAGGGAGGATCTGGAAACCTGCTTCCCTGTGATCTTCCTGTAATGTCAACTCTGAGTTGGCAGACAAGCACTGGGTTTCCCATCTTTTCTTTTGGGAAAACTGATCTGGCGTTACTTGATCCCTCATGTGACCGAGTGCTCAGGGAAGGCATGAAAGATTCATGAAGTGCTCTGTTTCACGGGAAGTCATGTTCCAGGCTACAGAACTTGTGCCAGCATCACTGTGGCCGGGGGGGGGGGGGGCCCCTGTGCCTTCATATTGGCCCTTCCCTGATTGCCTGAGTTCACCCTGAACTGCCTGGGTGTGAGGCTCGGTTGGATGAATGTCACACATGCATTTGCCACTTCTCCTTAACCCTATTTGTTTCTAAGGCTGGCATGATGCATTGCTAACATATCCATGGGGGTGGTAGGATGGGGCTAAAGGAGAAGGGTGAGAAGAGGGGGAGGGAGTCGGACGGAGAGCAAAGTAGGTGGGAATGAAACAAAACAGAACTGACAATCTCTGAGGAGCCCAAGCTGTCAGCCTGCAGGATCCGGACGTTCTCTGTTATTCCTCCTGCCGGTGAGAGAAACTTGCTGGCCTGACATTGCAAGGACCTTTGCCAGGGGCTGCTGTGGCCAGGCTTCCTCAGTCACAAGCCTCAGTGGGGATGCAGAGCTGTTCATTTGGCATCCTTGACTGCCGTGAAGGTCACTGTGGAAACACTAAACTCATCCTATGTACACCATTTTAAGAATATTGGGGAGCTGGAGAGATGGCTTAGCTGTAAGAAAGTACCTGCCCCTTACAGAGAACCTAGCGTGTCAGAGGGCTCAAAACTACCTGCAGCTCTTTCTCCAGGGGATATGACACCCTCTTCTGACCTCCACAAGCACCTGTACTCACACCTGTGAGCGCGCGCGCGCACACACACACACACACACACACACACACACACACACACACAACCACATAAATCTTAAATAAAGACGATAATTGGGAATGGAGGTCACCTGGGGGGGCAGGGCAAAGTGCAGACCCACAGGTAGGCCCACAATGGCCACATCGCCACAAGGAATCAGCCAGCTGTGTTTACTTTCAACTCAAAACGTTCCCCTTTGTACACCTAGACCATCAACTCTTCTGTCTCAGGGAGTGGCACAAAGTAACAGGTCATCGATTTCCACATTGACAACATTCGTGGTCACAATACACAATCATGTATTTTAATTATACAAAATCCAAAGAATAAAATGCTGCTAGCTACACAAGTTAAAATAAATCTGACAACTGAAAAGAAAACAAAAAGAAATTTCTGTTGGAATCAATAAAGACACTTGACAATATTACCAAGGGATGTAGTCCAGAAATTGGCCTAGCATGCTGAGTTTGTTGCCATAAGTTCACGAATTCCCAGCTCTTCAGGGCGGAAAGAAAGTGCATTTTCACATCAGACAGTTCTTGGTGAAACATCTTTTGTGTATATGCAGGTCAACAGGAAAAGGAAGGTAAGGCCTAGGCACCAATGCTCCTCAGACAGCAAAGGAGCTCAGAGTTAGACTTGAAACACTCACTGCCAGATCAGATCAGGTTGTTTGAACAGGACTGTGACATTAGTTCCAAAGGGCCAAGTAGACCACCTAACTGTCAAGAAGGAAGAAAGCCATCAAGAACTAGGACAACTCTGACAGAATTTTTTTCTACTCTACTTTAAAATACAGGTTGTCATTTTGGAAAAAGCAAAAGATAAACCAGTTGATCTGGGGGTACAACCTCTCTTCCCCAACCACCCACCCATTCCTGATGGGGTAGCTTCAAGATTGGAGACCAGATCACACTTCTTCATTTTCTTTGAAGTAGATTCATCATGTCATCCTGTGTGGCCATGCCTCTTAAATAATGAGCTATAACTCGGTGATAACAATGCCTGTTATTTCCTGGACTATGGCATTGATCAATGATGTGGGCAGATAACAGTTCAACTTTCTGATAAAATCACATCCATACAAAACTTATTGCACTTAAAAAAATCAACTCAGCCCAAGCAACAAAGGGCCAACTAAACTCTTGGGAAGTTTGGTACTTCCTGTCCTTTGTAGAGCATCATGACCTTTCTGGAATTCTAGTGAATTTGGTCCATCAAATGTCCAGAAGTGACGAGTTCAAAAGACACTGTAGGCTCCTTAAGGCTATGTCTTCCTCCTTGGCCACACACTGCAAAGCAGGGGCTTGCTTTACACAGTGGCTACAGGGCCCCTACAAAAGAATCTGGAAGCAAGGCAGGATGGGTGCACATTGTGTCCTCAGCTGCAATTGAGAGAACAATAGTTAGCAGCCTGGAGATTAGCAACCTCCTCCCTGCTCCACCTCTGGAGCCCACAACGCTTGTGACACGAATTTATCTCCACATCTTTCTTGGTGAGACTCCTCCTGTGGGTCTGAATATCTTTCTTTCCACCTACGAACTTACCTCTGTCTTTCCTTATACTGCATCCTTCCTGCTGGCTAGCACTGCCCTGGCTCCTTCTCGGTGGATGTAGACGTACCAGGCTGATGCTCTCCTACATTGGCTAACCCATCCACTTCCTACCATTTTGTAGTTCTCCCATAATGTTCTCCTGCCCACTCCTTACTCTGTCAATGGCTTCTACATCCTATTATAGCCAGACAAAGTTCCCTGTTACTGAGCTGAATACTGAGTCCATTTGTCAATTCAGAAAAGATCTCTCACACCTCCAAATTCTGATTTTCTAGTCAAAATGTGAGCACAAGTCACTGACTATGTTATGTATATTTTGTGACCCTCTCAAGCACCTGTCCACATAGTCACAGAGGTCAAAGCATTCTCAGAAAGAGCACCCACCCACACAGGTGTAGAGGTCAAAGAATTTTCAGAATCCATTATCCTTAGGTTCTGTGGTCAATATTGTTTTTCTTTGGGTGAATCCTCAATCCACTGACTCTTTTTGGGAATCTTGACTCTAGTTTATGTCTTTTGTAACTAATAAAATATTTGCACGAATATCTAGGTAGAGCTGGAACTTAGTGTCTGTCGTTGCAGACATAGAGACAATTAAAAGTTCTGGGCAGAGGGAAGAGAGGAAATACCATCACAAGCTGCAGAAGCCCCTGCTTGTTGCTATGATCACCAAGCGGTGTTGAAGTTTGAAGATCAGATATATATGACACAGGATCATCTTTGGTGCAGGCATTTGTGACTCTCTCTGCCCACCCCTATGGGGCTGAGAGTTGGACGGAAAGACTGGCACGAAGTCAGCATCTATATGAAGTCAGTGTCTACACAATTGGCTGGCTGCCTCTTGTCCAGTTCCAACATGGCCTCTCCCCTTGTTCTAAGAGACTCCATACTTACTGCTCCGGATTCAGAGCTAGGACTTGCCAACGTTTTCATAGATGACATCACTGATACAGAATTGCTGCTTCTTCCTCAGCCACATCAGCTGCACACACTGATGGATGAAGATGTACTGCTCCTAGGAGACACAACAAAAGCCTCAGAGTGGGACACATACGTGAAGATGAAGTCTTTAATACCAGACGGTTTAATGATGAGGGTCTGATGTGAAAGGACATCATTTTCATTTCTTTACAGAGATAATTTCATAAGTTGAAAATCCAAGACATTGAACTGTGAAGGTATTCTTATGAGCGATAGAGCTTAGAACATCATGTGTGTATGTGTGTGTGTGTGTGTGTGTATGTGTGTGTTCCTGTGTGCACATGCATATGAACATGTGTGTGGAGGCCAGAGATCAACATTGGGTGTATTCCTCTATCCCTATCCATCTTATATTTTGAGATCAAGTGTCCCATTAAACCTTGTGTTTGCTGATTTGGCAAGGCCAGCAGGCCGGTGAGCTCCAGGGAGACCCCTGTCTGCCTCCTCAGCTGTGGGCGTAAAGGCAAGGGCCCTGAGTTTTGGGTGGAGGCTGGGGCTCCAAAGCCAGTATCGTGCCTGTACAGGAAGCACTTTACCCACTGAGCCATATCCCCATCCCCTATTACATTTTACATACAGCAGAATGCTTCTTCTAGTTTGATCGAGGTATAGTAAATGTGTGTATATAAGGTTTACAGTGTGATGATTTAATAAGCATAGATGATTAGCACAGTCACACCAACGAACACATGCCACCTCACACAGTTACCATTTTTTTCTGACTATGAGAGCACCACAGAACTATCCTCTCAACAAATTTCAGGCACATAATCCATAGCTTTCTAAACTATAGTCACTGTAGAGTGCAGAGGGTCGTCCATGTACAGTGCTAAAGGCAACGGATATTTAACTGGAATAGTTTTTGGAAAACAAAACACTGTATACCTCATTATGCACCAAAGTGAACTGTGGGTAGTACAAATTAAACAATGGAAATGGAAAGGGAAATATAGGCTAATTATAGGTTAAGTTCTCCTGATTACAAACTTTCTAAAACTTTCAGCAATAGAAAAAAATTACCAATAAAAATTTCAAGGTTACTGTATGTTAAACACTGGTAAAAAGAGGGTACAAATTCATGGAAAATTCTTTCAAAATTATGACAAAATGTCAATAGCTTTATTTTTTGTTGGGAAGTTGCGCTAATCAGTAACACCTGAAGACAAAAAAATTAGTGTACAAAGTATTCCCAGAAGATCGGAACTGTGTCTTTTTTTTTTTCCTTTTTTCAGTAAAAAATGAGACAGGGTCTCACTACTGGAACTCACTGTATAGATCAAGCTGGCCTCAAACTCAGAGTGATCCACCTGTCTCTATCTCCCAAGTGCTGGGATTAAAGGTATGCATCACCATATCTTCTTATTCCTAGTTTCTAGAAGTTTGTACTCATTAAGTGATGTTTTTTAAAGTAAACCAAGGGAATATTAAAACATATGCAAAAAATGAGCACGTAGTTAGTCTGGCAGTCTTCTATCACTATGAAAGCTGAGGCAGAAGGGACACAAATTGGTCAGCCTGGGCTACCCTGGGAGACCACCACTCAAAAAAAATTACTTTAAAAAAGAAAAAGGCCAAGTAATAAAACTAAATGTTTTCACGGATGAAGTAATCTTAACTAGAGGATAAAATTAACACTCAATGATAATTTGAACTTGTTAAAGCAATTATTCCTTTTTAAAATTTTTATTTATTTTAATTTTCTGTGTATGAGTGTTATGCCTGCATGTGTGTAAGTACACCCTTGCTGTGCTGTCCAAGGACAGAAGAGGGTGTCAGATACCCTGAACCTGGAGTTATGGAAGGTTGTTAGCCACCATGTGGGTGCTGGAATTCAAACCTGGGTCTTCTGCAAGAGCAATCAGTGCTCTTAACCATTGAGCCCTTTCTCCAGCCCCAAGGCAATTATTCTTAATTATTATTGATGAGGTAAATTATTAAAACATTAATAAATGCTGTGGACACAGATGATAGTAAAATTGTATGCCTTTAATCCCAGTACTGGGAGGTAGAGAGGCAGGAGGATCTCTAAGAGAGTGAATTCCAGGCCAGCTGGGTCTACGGGAGACCCTGTCTCAAAAAGATCAAAACAAAAACAAAAACACAAAAAGAGAAGAAAATATACGCAGATGTATGCATCACATGAGCACAAATGTGTAGTCACATAGCACTGAAAGTTGAGATGAAATCAACAGAGTATTAAGGTTAGTTGTCTTTGTGCCATGAAACAAGCAATTTCACGGTTTTTCTCAATCCTTCTTCTCGGTGCATCTCTGTATCTGCACCCATTAGATAGCACCTCTAAATAAGACCCAGTCAAGATGCCCACAGGATTTAAACAGTTCCTTGTAGGACACAAATGCAAAGCCGATTCTTCAGCTCCTAGTGGGTTGGATCCTTGACTACTCTGTGTTTTCAATAAGCTTTGGAGAAAACATGAAACATGTTCCCCTGTGTTATGATAACATCTCATTAGAAACCAAACTAGCCACTGTGGGCCTCACACATCATCCCATTGACTCTGGTGTTATATGAGCATTAGGAACAGAAGAGGCTCTGGCCTGGAGTCTCCATGACTGCCCAGTGGTCAAACTCTGTCAAAACCAGAAGGAAAATGAACAGCAGACCCCAATCTGACAACTGATTGCTGCTAGATGAGCAATAGCTGACCTTCCTAAAACAAAGACCTCTAGATAGGCTGACTAGATTCATCGGATGGACAAGTACTGGGGAACGGCTGGGGGTGCCGATACCACAGCAGACAGTAGCAGGGATGACGGAGTA